TTCCTTTATGTGCGGGAATCGAGATGACTTTAGTGTTACTGACCCTTTTACAGCATCCCTGTGAATGTTTGTTTTTCTTCTTGGAGAGAAAGAAACTTACTCAGCCCGTGAAAGACACTCAAACTCAAGGAACTGTGGGGTCGCCCCGCAGTTGCAGGACTTCGAATTGATCGACCGCGGACATAATCGGAACTGCTGTTTACATGTGTTCACTTGTGTTTGACCTCAATGTACTGACTCTGGCGATTCGGTGAATGTGAAATCCCACGTATGTACTGTTTCCTTCTAAGCCCGCTGACCGTTCTGGAGGATCTCGAACCCTCTTCTGGAAAGGGGTGCCTATCATTACTTTATGGGGCAGCAGCCTGGAAAAGTTCTTGGGGACCAGAGGAGGCCAAGCTTGCCTGCCCTGCACTTTATCAAAGGAGCAGGGAAGAAGGAATCATCGAGGCACGGGGGTCCGCACTGCAATGTCTTTGTGGAACACGGTGAGTGCTTTTCAAGCTTTCGGATCCTGTTTTTTCCTGGTGTGTTCCGCTTAGGAAGGCATAAGGCACTTTTGAACCGCAGCGCTTGTGTCCGTTCCTTCCAGCTGTACTGGAAATTTGTGTTGCTGTCTTGTTCTCTTAGTTTGTGGAGGGACTGTCTTCGTAGCAGAAGAAGTTACTTGGGGACTCTGTGTGGCTTTACCAGAATCTCCCCGAGTCGTTTATTTCTCGCCTGATTCCCCTTCTCACTCGCTGTTGACCTTAGATAAGCCATTTTACTCTTCCAGTTTGCCGAGGAGAGTGCACTTAAGTCGTTTCTCGGATCAGAGTCCACGATCCTGCTCCGACCTAAGGCATGGGCTCTCCCCGAAGATCCTTCACTGCTTTAGCCATGGAGGGGCTTTCATCGTATCCTCAGAGTGGCCCGCGCTCCCCAAAAGGTTAAGAACCACAGATCCTGGTGGGCGCTAATATCCTTGACCTTTTCAGTCCTGAGTAGGACTTGCAAATGCCCACTTTGGAGCTACGTGGGAAAAGTGGAGTGGGGAAGCAGCGTCCTTTGCGGATCGAGGAAACCCGGCTGCTTCTAGTTGCTTTGCCTTACCCAGGAGTGATGGTTTCCCCGGCGATGGGGCTTGTAGCTTCCCCTGTCTCCCTGTTTCGGATGACATTTGGGGCCAGAAAGGGTGCCTTCGACATTTGCATGAACATAGTTGGCATTTGATTGCAGACTGTCTGTATTCCACTGCACCTTTCCAGTAATTCCGTGTGAAGTTTTAAAGCGAAGGGTCGGCTGAGACTCCTGCCTGCTACAGGGGCCGGCCGTGAACCACTTAATTAGGGCCCTGGCCGTAGTGCTGTAGCCTGACGTTTTTCGAACCGTGAGCTTCATATAGGAATATCGACCCCACCCGCTCTATTAGCGAATGTGAGAAGAGCGCGCGCGGCATCTACTTTGAAATTCAGCCTCAGATGCCTTTTAACGATGGGTGACCACGGTCAACAGAGGTCTCTGCGCCTTGCACTTGCGTGTGACTGTTGAGGTTTTACTTTCTGACAGAAAAATATTTGCCTCATCTATATAATTTGGGCGCTCGAATTGTATTTTTCCTTGAAATATTAGTTACATTTTAGCGCTGGTTTTAGACTGGGAGATATTGAAGTTTGTTACATTCTGGTGCTTCCCCAATTCAGGATTTGTAAAGTGAAATTATTTACATTAAAAAAATTTTTTTCTAACGTTACTTATTTTTGAGAGAGAGAGACAGAGAGAGAGAGAGAGACAGAGCGTGAGCAGGGGAGGGGCAGAGAGAGAGAGGGAGACACAGAATCGGAAGCAGGCTCCAGGCTCTGAGCCGTCAGCACGGAGCCCGACGCGGGGCTCAAACCCACGAACTGTGAGATCATGACTTGATCCGAAGTTGGACGCTTAACCAACTGAGCCACCCAGGCGCCCCTGAGTTATTTATTTACATTTTTAACTAGTGACGATCATGCAGCCTTGGATAGTGAAAATTGGTACAGACTTTTTGGAGAGCTTTGGTCACACTTAGCAGAATTTAGTGTGTATATACCAATAACCCAGGAATCTCACTTCTAGGAAGCTATTCTAGTACGGAACAGTATGATCCCCTTGGGTGTCCCTGATACCCTTTCCGAGAGGGTCGAGAGGTTAAAACAGTGTTCATATTGCTACAATTCTCAGATGCTGTTTGCACTCTTTGCACTAATGGTGCAAAAGTCATGCAGGCTCCTTAGCGTGAATCAAGGCTGCAGCACCTAACTATCCTAGGAGCCATCGTACCGTTCGTGCCGTGCACTCGCGATGAGTACAATACAATGAAATAATTTGGTTTTCACCTGAATGTTCTCGATGCAGTCGTAGAACAGGTTAAATTTATTAACTGTTGCCGCTCGTGGAGATGGTTTTTCCCGTAGTCTGTGGGATGAAATGAGAAGGTGCACATGAACGTCTCTGCTGTGCACTGAGGTATGATGGTCCTCTCTCCAGGAGAAGCAGATGGGCAGTTCTTTGAGCTGCGTGCTGAACTAGCTGCGTTTTTCACCGACTGCCATTTTTACTCCATTT